CCAGACGAGGCTCCAGATGGGGCCCCAGGTGTTCCTGTGCAAGAGTATTCAAATTTAGGGACGTATCTTCTGAAGCAATGGTGCTGGGGCTTGATGCCCGCCGCAGAAGTTCAACGCGTTGCGCTGGCGGCGCATCGGGACGGGCTCAAGCACCAGGAAATATCGAAGCTCGCGAGCCTGGGCGCCTGGGGGAACCACCCAGGCAATATCCATTCACAATTGACGAGGATGCTTGGGAGGAATATGCTACCAGAGCCCATGGCGTTCCCCGTGTCGTGCATCGATCCGAAAACTACTAAGCCAACTGAAGGCACAGCTGCGGCCCTCCTACCACACGAGTGGTTTTCTGCATTATTTCATCAATATCCAACGGAATTCGAGGAGATCTTCGGGGTGGGTCGCCTGTCGGACTTCTGGGATCACGCCAGCAGGACGCATTTTCTTTTTTTTTTGTTTCCTCTCATGGGTTGGTGCCAGCAGTTTTCGGGTGCCCCCGCCCGCCGCGCGCCCCTTCCCACCCCTCCCCCCCCCCCCCTGGCCATTTGACGACGGCGGGGGGGCGGGGGCGGGGGGCGGTCAGGAAAACGAAACAGCTGGGGGAACATCGGGGGTGGAGGACAGGAGGGCGACGCTTCAGCGGCGGCACTCCCGCTCGAGCATTATCATTCTGCGCGGCACCAACAACCATCCCAGGGACGACCGACGTCTGCGAGACCACCCAGTCTGGGCCGTTCGAAGTTACGCGACCACATGCGTGCCTTTGAGGATCCACGGCGACGGGGCCGAATTTCTCACACGGGACAGCCTCGCATCGTTGAGCCTTACAGGGTTGTTAGGGGTCGGTTCAACAAAGGCGCTCACACTGAATTTAATCAGTTGGCCATTGAGCACCCTAACGAAAAAGAAAAAACATGGTGGCAAAGATGCGTTCCTGGAGATATGGGAAGTGTTGCGATGGAGCTTCCAGGCACTGGCGGAGGGCAAGCACCCTAGAACAGATTAGATTGGCTTCGCCACCACGCACACACCAAACTAGACTTACACGTGTAAGGGGGCCTGGGGGGTGTTGTCGGTGGTCCCGCGCATTGCGGCGTGCTTCCAATTTCGCCCATCTCCACCCGTTTGCCCTCTGCGCATTTTAATGCCATCAGGGCCCGCGTTCGGTAGCCTGTCTGCGGGCATGCTGCTCCGCCGCGTCAGTTTCTATTGCTTGCCCCTCTCCTCAGCTCCTCCCCGTTGCTATCCCTCGTCTTCCCTGGCCCCGAAGCCCCAGCCCGCACCCTCCCCCCTCCCCTTCCCCCCGCAGCGCGCCCCCCCATCCCCCGCCCGCCCGCCCGCCCCTTGCGCCGCCTCTACCATTAGCCAATAACCCTCGCTTGAACGAGAGAGTCGGACTGGAACGGCGACCCGTTAGACCCTGATCGTGCCAGGTTGGGTGGGCAGTTCCTGTGTAGCCCAACGAAGCCGTTCAGGGCGTTTATATACGGCATCCTCGGTGACCTGGAATTTTTCGCAGCCTACCTACACATGCCGTATTCAAATGACAACCAGTTCTGTTGGTTGTGCCCCTGCGACAAGAGCGGCGCCAACCCGTTCAATAATTTTCAGGCAGATGGGCCGAACCACTGGAAATTTCACGAACGAGATTTCCGAGCTGAGCACCCTGTGTTCACTATATGGGGAGTTGCTGTGTCCACGTTGTGTTTGGACGTGATGCATACTTTTGACCTCGGCGTTACGGGCCACATTCTCGCCAATGTGTTCTTCGAGATAGTTACAGAGCACGAGCGTGGACCCAGGGCCGCCCGCGTGGAGAAGCTCTGGAAGCGAATCCAGGAGGTCTACCAGGAGGAAGGCATCGAGCACCGCCTATCACACTTCAAGTTCGGATACTTTGTGAAAGACCCTGATTCCCCGTTCGCGGATTTTCCTGTGTTGTCCCACGCCGTGAAGGCGGCCGAGGCACGCTGGTTGTCTCGCGTCGGCCTTCAGTTGTCCAGGGACTATGACGACGGTAGCCCACCTTCACGAACGAGGGTATTCATGCTGAAGAGCCTTTGCAAAATCTATGAGCTGATCGATTCGGGCGATATGTTTTTTTCTGCAGCAGAGTGTAATGACATCCAGAAGTGGACAGACGACCTGCTTGAATGCTACCAATCGTTATCCAGCAGGGCGTTCGCACAACACAAATTGAAGTACTCCATAGTCAATAAACACCACTTTGTGTGGCACCTGGTACGCCAGGTGCCACTTAACCCTCGGTACACTTGGTGCTACCAACCAGAAGATTACCAACGCTTCGTCTCCCGTGTCGGGGGTGCTTGCGCCATTGGTACATCTATCAATAGTGTATGCCGTAAGGTTTCTGAGAGGATGAGAATGGGCAGGCATATAAACGACTTTCGTCAAGGTTGGTCCCGCCACGGGCCCTAGGAGGAAGGAAGGAGTTTTTTTGGGGCGGGGCACAGACGAGACAGGTCCTTGGAGGAGGTGGAAGGAGGAGGTGGGGAATGGGGGGCGGAGGGGGAGGAGGGGGAGAAGGAGGAGGAGGAAGGAGGGGGAGACAGAGGATGGAGGAGGATGGGGCGGAGGAGGGGTCGGGGGACGGCGGGCGGAACATAGGGCAGGGAGGGGAGGGGAGGACGGACGACGCGAGGACGAAGCGTGCTGCCGCCTGCCCAATGCTGGGCTGCGGATCTGGAATTTCAGCGCTGCTCCATGGAGTAGGAGCAGCCTTTTTCGGCGAGCACTGCGTCAGCCCCCAGGGGAAGGAGGGGGGGTTGAAGGAGGTAGGAGGAGGAGGAGGAGGAGGAGGAGGAGGAGGAGGAGGAGGAGGAGGGGGAGGATGAGGAGGAGGGAGGAGGAGGAGGAGGAGGAGGAGAGGAGGGAGGAGAAATAGCGGGAGGAGGGAGGAGGAGGGAGGAGGAGGTCGGTTCCCCTCCTCCCTCCTCCTCCTCCTCCTCCTCGTCCTCCTTCTCCTCCCCCTCCCTCTCCTCCTCCTCCCCTATCCTGCTTGCTGCTTGTTGCTGCTGCTCCTCCGCCGCGTCCGTCCGCTCCTCCTCCTTCCCCCCCTCCTCCTCATTCTTTTCCGCCTCCTTCCACCCTCACGGGGCAGGGGGTGGACGCAATGCTAGCCGATCCCCGCTTCACGCTCGGCTGCGCGTGCTTCTGTGCTCGCCTCCTCCCTTTTCTTCTTTTTATTCTTCTATAACTTCCTAATGATTACCGCTGCCACTACTGATGCAAACCCCTTATCCACCTGACTCCCCCTCGCCTGTCCCCCCCGCCCCTTCCGCGCATCCACGACCCCCCCCTCTGAATGCACGGGTGCGTTTTTGTTTTAACACGACGGCCGTCATCATAAGTGCCATCGGCATCGTAGTTGAAATCGTAATGGTCGTCATCCCCACCATCAGCTCGACTCTCCTCTCTCTCTCTATATATATACATACATCTCTCTCCCCCCTCTCTCCTTCGCACGGGCCGCGCAGGGAGCGGAGCGGCGCCCGCGCCTGCGCCAGAAATGGCGGCTGGGCCAGGAGCGAGGAGTAGGATGATTACGAATATTAGTAGGAGTAGGATGAGTAGGAGAACTAAGAGGAGTAACAAGAATATTAGGAGGAGTAGGAGGAACATGAAAAGTAGGAGGAGTAACAGGATGAGTAGGAGGAGTAATAGGATGAGTAGGAAAAGTAGGAGGAGTAGCACGAGGAGTAGGAGTAGGAGGAGTAGCAGGAGCTCGTTTTTCCCCTCCTCGTCCCCTTCCCTCGTTCTCTCTCTCTCTCTCTCGCTCTTCATCCTCTCCCGATCTTCCTCCGTCCTCTTCTTTATCCATCCCCCCTCCTGCATTCGATAGGGGGCCCGTTGAAAAGGGGGCTTCGACGGGCGAACGATCGCGACCTCTCTGCCCTGCCAGCCTCTACGGGTCCGTCGCCGTTGGAGGGCGGGCAGCCCGTGGATGGCAGGGCGAGGGCCTCGCGAACGTTCGCCCCGCCCCCTCTTCGAGGGGTCCCCTACTTGGCCCTACGTGAGTTCCAGCGTGCGTGTGAAGAGTATGTATAAGCGTTCGATCGTCAAGTATCCCCCCCTCTTCCTCCTCCTCCTCGACTTCATCATCAGAACCGCCACCATCATCATCACCATAATCTTCATCATCATCATCATCATCATCACCATCATCATCATCATCATCATCAGCATGATCATCATCAGATTCACCTTCATCATCCAAACCAGCATCATCATAGTCATCATCAAAGTTATCATCATCATCATCAAAGTTATCATCATCATCATCATCATCATCACCATCACCATCACCATCATGATCATGATCATCATCACCATCACCATCACCATCACCATCACCATCACCATCACCATCATCACCATCATCATCATCATCATCATCATCATCATCATCATCGTTTTGGTTCGTCGGTAACGGTCGGTAGCGAATGGCAAACGACCGATTTTGTCAGGCAAACAACCGATTTTGTCAGGCAAACGACCGATTTTGTCAGGCAAACGACCGATTTGTCAGGCAAAAAACGCTACCGTCGGTAGCGTTTTTTGCTCATCGGTCGCGACCGATCGCTACCGATCGCTACCGAAATTTTGGCCGAATCGGTCGCGACCGGTCGTTCCCGATCGCTACCGAAATTTTTCGGTAACGAATGATCTGGGTTGGTGGGGGGCCTCCCGGGAGGCCCTCGTCGCCACCATTGGATTCGCCTCGGAATCCGGGTCAGAACGCACCCCGGGAGAGGTCCGGGGAATGGCGGTATTGGAATGTTTTGATATTGCTAAGGACGTACGCGTACATGAACCTACGTTGGATTCGAAAGTACGCCTTGCACGAATGTTCGCATCTCGAGGCTGGTCTCGCGGACTGGGGGGCCGTATTCGCGTGCGGGGTTGGGCGCGTACGTCCTCCGTGGGCTCCCCACACCTTTGCATCCAGGGCTGGTCGGCCATGCTTCTCTGTCCCTCTCCAGGCTCGGGCGCAGGTTCCTGGACCCCGTGCACCTGTGGCCGCTGGACCGGCGGGCCCCGGAGCTCCGGGCCGAGGGGGCCTACGCGCTGCTGCAGGGCCTGGCGCCCCACCGGGCCGCGCGGTGCCTGCTGCGGCCCCAGGACATTGCGCAGGGGAGCGCGGGCGTCCTGAGGCAGTTCCTGGCGGTGGCGTTCCTGAACGACCCGCCGGGCCCGGCGAAGCTGCCTGGGCGGCTGGAGGACCAGGGGGAGAAGGCTGCACAGAAGTATGTTTTGGGAGGACGCGCAAGGGGGCCCTAGTTGAATCGGGGGTCAGCGAGGGCTGCAGAGAAGGGGCCCTGTCAGTGCCCCTGTAGAGGGGCTGGGGCCCTTTCGGACCCGGAAGGGGGCCTGGCGGGCCTGAGAAGGGCACATTTCTTCCTCCCCATTGATCGCCCCCCTTCGATGCGTGCCCGAAGGACCCCAGGGAGAAAAGGCTGCATAGTCGGAGGCTGGTGGAGCCCCAATCCTACCAAGACGACTGGGGAACTGCACTTTCTGATTTCTCGAGGGCGTTGAAGCCGCGTGCGAGCATGCGCCCGCCGGATCTGGTCCCAGGTTGATTTTCCATCTTAGCTTGAATCGGGCCTGTCCCTCTTCAGGGAGAATATGCAAAATAGTAGACTTATTTCTGGGGACGATTTTCTGGATGTTTTTTCTATCATTTTTGTATATTTTGGTCCATATTAAATTTGTCGTCCAGAATCCGCCTGTAGGGGGACATGCCCGACCTAATCTTAGCGAACTGGGAGTTCAGTCCATCACTGACATATCTGAAGTCTGAATGCCGCCTCCTCTGCTGCCGACCCTAGACACAGTCTTAGTGGTAGCAGACGTACGATTCGTGTCACGGAGAGTGGTGGCAGGGGCAGTCAGTCGAAATCGTTACGCGAAGAGGAGCACACGAGAAAGAGGAGTCACCGCAGCGGCTGAGGCCGACGAGCCGTAGACATCTCGGCCCAAGCAGTGCAAAAAGCCCCACCCGTGCAGGGCTTACGTCTAAGCTGCCGGAGGTCCCGAAGGCATTCCTGCATCGGGGGCGGGTTCCCTTCCGGCCCGGCCCACGGAGCGCGCCAGGGGGCGGCCGGCCGCCAGGGTGTCCGGCGCCGATGCGCGAACTTCGCGCGGGCCTGCCGAGCAGTCTCGTCGGGTGGAGTGCAGAGGGTGGCATCTGAAATGCCGCTGCTCCCAAAGCACTGTCGCCCGTCAACTTCCCTCCCCCTCTCCCCCATCCCTTTCCTTCGCCGCCTACTGCACCCGCGTTTCCGCCTCCACCCCCATCTGTGCCTCCGCCTCCGCCTGCACCTCCTCCTCCAAGGCTGATATTTTCCCTCCTCTGCCTCCCCCCCCGGTCCCCCTCCAACTCCCCCCCCGCATCATCATCATCATCATCATCATCATCATCATCATCATCATCATCATCATCATCATCATCATCATCATCATCATCATCATCATCATCATCATCATCATCATCATCATCATCATCATCATCATCACCATCACCATCACCATCACCATCACCATCACCATCACCATCACCATCACCACCATCATCATCATCATCACCATCATCAGCATCATCACCATCATCATCATCATCATCATCGTCCGCCCGCCCGCGCTAATCGCTAATGGCAGCGACCAGGTGACGCATCACCTTTCTGGGATCCACGTGCACTCGTCCCTTGACCACGCCCACGCCGTCGCCAGCACCTCGATCAGAGTCGCCCTCTCTCAGTCCGGGCCCCTGTCCCCCATGCCGCCAAGCTGGAGCACGATGGCCCCGCAGACGTGCGCACCGAAGCCCCCCCGGGACGCCACGCGGGGCCACTCCTACCGCCCTGCGACGGGCCCCCGAATCCCGACCCCGCCGTTTTTCCCCCGCGTCTCCTGCCACACAGCCGGAGGATGTTTTAGAAAAGCAGCACGAGTTCCAGAGCGCACCACGAGATTCTAGAGCCGCAAAGCGAATGCTGGGGCAGCAAGAGCAAGTCTAGAACGCAGAACCAGTTTCCAGAATCTCGCAGAGCATGAAGCGCAAGCGCAGACAAGTTCTGGAACGGCCAGAACAATGTGAGAACGACGAAGTGAATTCTGGAACGCAAGCAGCGATTCTAGAATTCTAGATTGACCTTTCGGGCGCCAGTCGCGTGCTGTTTCGCCCGTCGGGTGCCAGTCTCGCGCTCGTACACGTGCCGCGCGCCAGTCGCGTGCCCGTTCACCTGTCTGGCGCCGGTCGCGTGCTCGGGGGCCCAAAGAGTCAGCCAGCCTCCCAACCAACCATCCATCCAACCATCCAGCCCAACACTCCATCCGCCAGTCAACTAACCAGCGAGCCAACCAACCAATAGCGAACCACCCAGACAATCAGGGACGGGGCGCCGGCAATTGATGGAACAACAGCTAAGACAATGTCAAGAGAGTTCGCGCCCGCCTGCCATCTGCAGATGCGCTGAGCGTGGATTCGTCGAGGCACGAACAACCCACGAGTGGCATCGGCGGGGCGGTAAAGCCTTGTTTGAAGGATTACCGGGTGCGAGCCATCAGCGGTGCCTGATCACGTGCGGGCGCAATCGTGACGTCGTAGCAGAAGCCAGGCGATGCATATACACTGGCTGCTACACAACACAAACTTCACCCCTAAAGCCACCCAGCCACAAGACGGATTGATTTTCGAAGTACATAAGCCCATATGGATTCCTCCCTAAGCCCGCCGCCCTAAGAAAGTGCTCAGTGCGAGGGCTTGAAGTTCTGTGCAGTCCCTCCCGAGGACGAGGACGGCGAGGAGCTGGAGTCCGAGCCGGACGAAGAGCAGGCGGCCGGGGCAGAGGAGGCCAGCGAGGGCACGTCTCTGGACAGCGGGCCCGAGGACGAGGAGGAGGAGCTGGTGGGCCCGGGCATGCTGAGCATCGCGCAGCGGGAGGCCACGGAGGAGGGCGTGCAGGCCGCAGGCGCCGCCCACCAGGGCGACGAGGACGCGGCGACCACGCTGGCGAAGTCCCTGGAGCAGGCCGCCCGCGGGCTCGCGTACGAGCGCGTCGTGGACCTCTCGCCGCTCCTCGCCAGCGGCGAGACGGCCGAGGGGCTCCGCGATGTGCCTCCCGAGGAGGTGCTGCTCCGCTGGCTCAACCACCAGGTGGGCCAAGGCTGCGGGGGGGAGGGAAAGCTCTGGTCGGCGGTCCTCAAAGGGTACGGGCCCTGGGGAGGGATCCCACGGGATTAGTCTCAGGGTGCTTGAGGCCCCTCATCCTCAGGGCCCCAGCACTCAAGGTCCCATTTTTGAGCAGCTGACCTGAGGTCTGGGTGCCCCACTGTTGGAATGGCCTCTGGCCAGTGCCGCCGATCCGGTGGAGCAGCAGGAGGAGAGAGAGGAGGAGAGAGAGGAGGACGAGGAGGACGAGGAGGAAGAGGGGGAGGAGGAGGACAAGGAAGACGAAGAGGAGGAGAAGGAAGAGAAGGAGGCGGCGGAGGAGGAGGAGGAGGAGGAGGACGAGTCTTTGAGCAGCTGACCTGCGGCTGCCCTCTAGAGGCGACCCCGCGCTCCCAGAGGCGGGGAACCTGGGGGAGGACCTCAGCGACGGGCGATTGCTACTGGCGCTGCTGAGGACCGGCGGCGAGCCCGGGGGGAAAAGTGAGAAGGCGCGGGCTTTCTCAGTCGGGGGAGCGTAAGACCCGGGTTTGCCAGGACTCGGGTTCGCCATCGTTTTTTGACGACCGCGACTCGGATTTTGACGAGGAGGAGTTGCGTGGGATGTCTGCAGCGGGAGGCCTCGTCAAAATGCAGGCTCGGCCTCGTCATTTTTGTTGACGACCTCGTCGGGGATTTCCGAGTCCCCTGTACCCGGGTCTTACGCCCCCCTGACTCAGGCGGCTGGGGAGTCCCCCGGCCTTCTGAGAAGTCTTCGTAAGCCCTTCCCGAAGACACGGAGCAAAACCCCTCCGAAGGCGCGGGGGGGCTTCTGAGAAGTCCAGCCGCCTTCTGAGAGGGTCGTCTCTTTCTCTCTAGGCCTCCTAGACGGGGTCCGAGCAGATGGGGTCTGAGGATCGCGCCGCATCGACGATGCATCGGCGATGCGGCCCGATCCACGCCTGCATCGGCGATGTGGGGGCCATCCTCTGCCCTCATCTGCTCCCACCCCGCTTGAGATGCCTCGATTCTCTTGGCATCGCTCGGACATGTGCATTTTTTTCGCGGCGAGAACCATCGAGGACCATCCTGGACCATCGAGCAGGAAAGACACAGGCACGAGACCGAAAAATGCACGGGAGGTGGACGCCCGAGCGACGGCAAGCTCTCGCTCCCCCCCCCCCCGGCGCTCGCCGCCGAGAGGAGGGTCGCGCCCGACGTGGCCCAGGGCGCCGACGCGGGGGAGGATCACCAGCCTGGAACAGATCCCTATCCCTCTGCTGGGCACCTCCTCATCACGGTGCCAACCTTCGGGATGCCCTTGCCCTTCGTTTTTCCGGGCGGATCCCTGAGATTGTCACCGCCTCCTGGCGCGCCAATCTTAGGGACAGGGATACGTTCGAGGCTGGCAAGAGGAGGAGCCGGACGGCGCCGCGGCCGTGGCGGGCCTCGCCGCGCGCTGCGGCGACGGCTGCCAGCTCCCGCAGGAGGCGCTGCGCTCGGGCCAGGAGCCGTCGAGCCGAGGGGCCCCCCCCCGAGCTCGGGCCGGGCGAGAGAGGGGGGGGAGTGGTAAAACGACGCGAAGATCGGGGCAAAATCGGATCGGGATAACTCGAAATCTCTGAGAATCGGCGGGTTTGGAGGATGTATTGGGCGCCGCGGCCGCTCCAGAGCGTTCTGGAACGCTCTGAGAGCGCTCCGGAACGCTGTGGAGCGATTTATCCCGATCATAGCCTTGTTTTAAGTGGGAAAGAGGGGGGGGGCGACGTCTGCTGCATGCAGCTGGCTTCGGCCTCACCGAGGGGCCCCTTCCTCGATGCACAGCTCCCTCGGGCGCCGGGGGGCGCCGGGGAAATCAGCTGCGCGAGCTGGTTCTCAACCCCCCCCTTTGCTATCCGCCCCTTTCGTAAGTCGGGCATGTCCCTCTGCGGGAAGAGGGCTCAAGGATCGTGAAATCGCCTGGAAGACGATGGCGATAACGGGTGACAAGGGGGTGGGGGGCGAGGGAGGGAGGGAGGACTGGGAGGGGGAAAGGTGGGAGCAGGAGGGGAACGACGACGACGGCGCAGGGGGGGAGGGGAGGAGTCGAAGACAGGGCAGGTGCGGATGGGGGGGGGGGCGCAGCTGAAGGGGGGGGCGGGGGTCCGCTGGTGCTCCTTGGACTATTCTTGAATATTTTTGAACTACTTTTTATCTTCGTCCCAGATCCGCCTGTACGGGGCATGCCCGACCTAACTCTAATCCTTATATCACGATGAAGACGGCGCCCCTCACTGAGGTCCCCGTCTTTGCCCTAGGGGTCATGGGCGTGGGCGGTATGGTGTCTGGCACATTTGCAGAGCAAAAGTGCCCACTTGTCCCTAGTATTCTGGGCCCCCTGACTTGGAGGTCCCCTCCTAAGCAGGGTCAGGGATGCTTTAACTGCTCATCAAAGGAAGACCAGATCACGGCGTTCGTCGCCAGCGTCTTCAGGGTGCGCCCCAACCTTAGCCCGGAGCCGACCTCGGCGCTCGCGCTGCACATCAAGTAGCCAGGCTGCCTCTGCGGCGGGTCCCGCCCCTGTTGCCGTCGCGCTTCACCGAAGCGCGCATCAGGAGAGAAGACAACACAGGCAGAATTCCTTGTCAATTCAAAAGAAAGTATGGGAAACTATGGGAAGTGGGGGGGGAGACGAAAGCCCAGGAACTATGAGAAAATATGGGGAGTCCTTGGATTTGTGTCTATTTGTTTGTGTGTCCCTGTGCCCCTTCATCGCGGGATCTGCAGGGCCAGCTCAGATCTCCGCACAGGCTCGGCAGAAAGGTCTCAGGGCCGTCTGTGAACCGGCCGGGGGCGGTTCCTCCTCCTCCTCCTCATGGCATGCTGGCCAAAATGCTACAAAGGTTCCCCCGTTTAGTGCGTCTCTTCCGCCAGCGCAGACGACCTCTGCCTAGCCGCCGACGCAAAAAGTGAAGCGGGGGTACGATCGAGGCTGTAGGCCACCGCACCCGCGACGTTCCACGATCGTTGCCCTGCGCGCCCGGAGATTCTCGGAGGCGGCCTCTGGGGGACTCTGTGGCGGCTCCCCAGGGGGGGGCTGCTCTTGGAGCCCTGACTGCGGCATCGTGGGCCTATATATGTATATATATATATATATGTATGTATATTGGAAGTTTCGGAGCCGTAATGGGCTTTGATGTAGATCAGGCGATCGCAAGCATGGATCAAGGGGGCGTTCATTGGCGACGGGTCCCGTTTCCAGGGGAAATCGCGGATTTCCGCCGCCGGCCGCACTTTGAGGAGGCACCTCCAACGATTTATGGATTTGGCGACCGCGCGCCAAATCCATGAATCGCTCATCCATGCTTGCGCGCCCCCGAGCAGAGCCTGGGGCTGTCCAGGTGAGTCTTGGACATGTTGGAAGCCGCCTTCAGAGGCTATCTCAAGCCGACGAGCTTCGGACGCAAAGAGCCACCAAAGTCTTCACGTGGGCGAATTCGGAAACCCTAAACCCAAAAATGTTTCTATCTCTTGGGGGCGCATTTTTCACTTCCGCCACCTTCCGCCGCCCTTCCGCTGGCTTCCGCCGGCGGAGGCGCCCTCATTTTACTTCCGCCGACCTTCCGCCGCCCTTCCACCGCCTTCCGCAGCGGAAGAGATGACAACTTCTTCTACTCGGGAAGGCAAGGCCCTTTTTGGAACGCCCCACGTGGTGTCGGTCTCCCATGACTTCGCCTGGATGCTTCCTTGGGCGTCATTCCCGGATAGCTCCTTAGAGAGCTAAGAGGGTTCCAGATTAGAAGCCGGCAGCGCAGGGTGGCCCTGAAGCTCTTTCCGGCGCCGGTCAAGCAGCGTCGCAGCGCCTTGCTTGAACTCGCAGCTTGTCCCGAGAGCGTTTACCACTCTTATCCAATAACCCTTGGAAGCAATCAGTAAACCCCCCTCCCCCCCCCCCCGTCATCAGAGGAAATTATAACGCTTCCGGCACCTGGGCTGGGGCGGAAGCGATATCCCCCGCAGGTCACCAGAGGTCCGCGGAGGGGAGGTACCCGGACGTTCCCAGGAGGCATCCAGAAAGGCCTCCACAAGCCTCTGAATGCCCGGTCCCCTTGTAGTCCAGAGCCCAGCGACAAGGCACACCTGCCCAGAGTCGCTTCCTGTGATTCTGTGCGTTTCTGTGAGATTCCTCAGAGATTGTTTTGATACTCCGATTGGCTTCTTTTGAGAGTCCTTGCCGTTTCCATTGTGATTCTTTTGGGACTCCTTTGAGACTCTTCAGGTGTTCCTTTGATGTTATTCTGGGGGTCCCTTGAGGTTCCGGTCATATCCCTTTGATGCCCCATTGCTTAAGGGAGCATCACATCGACATCCGGGCCGGTGGATTATTTCATTTTCAAAAAATGTGCTAACATATCGCGGGGGGGTTCGCGGAATCCGTCTGCGATATCTCTCCGTGGACTCTCCCATCGGATTCCCTGAAATAATCAAATTCCCTACTGCGGTCGCAATAGGGTTTGCTTATGTCCACGCGAGCCCGCGTTTTCCAAATGCCTTAGATTCCTTCGTGGTTCGTTTGAGCTGCCGCTGAGATGCCTTCGCGATTTCTGTGGGGCTCCTTTGAGATCGCTTTGAACTTCCATTGGTTCCTTTGATATCATGCGTGGGATTCTTTGTGATATTCTTATGGGATTCCTTTGGGGGTCCTTTCAAGTTCCTTTGACATTCCTTCGACAATCCCTGAAGGGAGCATCACATCGACCTCCGGTACCTGTGGTATTATTTGTTTCAATAAATGTGCTAACATATCGCGGGGGGGTTCGCGGAATCCGTCTGCGATATCCCTCCGTGGACTCTCCCAGAGGACACCCTGAAAAAAAAACAAATTCCCGATTGCGGTCGCAATAGGGTTTGCTTATGTCCACGCGAGCCCGCGTTTTCCAGATTCCTTAGATTCCTTCGTGGTTCGTTTGAGCTGCCGCTGAGATCCCTTTGCGATTGCTGTGGGGTTCCTTTGAGATTACTTTGAATTTCCAATAGGGTTCTTTTGAGATTCTGCGTGGGCTTCCTTCTGAGATGCCTCTGGGATTCCTTTGGGGGGTCCTTTCAAGTATAGTTGCTTGCGGTGATTTCATTGTTTGTCATTTTTGATTTACCTTTGATTTCCGATGCGCGTCAGTTTTCCAGTGTTCTAGCAAGGCGGGAACCCATTGGCAAGCTTTCTCCCCATTGGTTCTTCAGGCTGTCGCCTCACGTTGCCGCCAGCTTCGGGCCCGGGGGGGCAAATCAATTAGTTATTTTATTTCGTTTTTATGTGCTAACGATATCCCCGGAGGGCGCCGCCCAACAACAAATAGTTATTTTATTTTCTGTGCTAACGATATTGCCGGGGGGGTACTGTATGCTTCCCGGGGTTACGCGTGCTGGAAGCCTTTCTGCAGTTCCTTCGAAGCTCGTTGGGAGCTCCTGCGAGCTCCTTTCTCGGGCTTGCGAGCTCCCCAGGCATCCTTTCCGGCGTCCTTGTGGGCGTCTTCCCGAGGCGTTTCACGCGCTTTGGACTACACCGCTATTCGGGCTTGGGACGCGGGGATCGATGAGCCATCTTGGTCTGGTATGGCAGCATCTGGCAGCGCCATTCTGAGGCGGCCTTGGTTGGCCTCGAGGTCGCCACGAGAGGCCCAGACGAGCGCACGATGGCAGGACCGTGCAGCGCGTCCTGCGGGGCGCCCCTCGCGAACCACGGCAGCCTCGAGGTCACCACGGCCTGCGGGCAGTCCAACACGCACGTGCCAACGGCACGGTCCCGGGCCCCCGACGTCATGACTTTTTCGCTACGTCGACCCCCGAGGCCTCGACCCACTTCCCAGGACTCCGGTTTCTCGTCCTGAGTCCTCTTGTCGACGGCCCCGAGGGCCAGGAGGGGCCTCCAGAGGCCGACCATCAGGAAGACCTCCCGCCGCGCTCCTCTCCTTGCCCGGAGGGAGTCTGGGGCGGCGGATGTCACCGAGCTCCTCGAGGTGGGCACCGAGGCGCTGCGCGAGGGGCTCGAGAAGAAGCCCTCGCTCGTGCGCTTCGGCGCGCTCCTGTCGAGCGGCGGCGATGGCCGGGCCGGCCCGCCCGGCAGGCCGTCCGCCCCCAGGTTCCAGGCCTCCCAGATGGGGTCGGAGCGTGGATGGGGTCGGAGGATCTCGCCACATCGCCGATGCGTCGCCGGTGCGGCTCGAGGTGGAGCCCGATGTCCTTCACGTCGACGCCGCCGGCGTGTCGCCGCATCGCCCGATGCATCGGCGCTGCATCGGCGCTGCGGCGCGATCCTCCGACCTCGGTTGCTCGGACCCCATCTGGGAGGCCTCTACAGGCTGCGGCAGGCCGTGGCCTCGGTGTGCGCAGCGCGGGATGCGGCGCGTCAGGTGGAGCTCAACCTCCAGTCCCACGTCGGCGAGGTCCTCGCCAGGCGTCGTCGAGGAAAGAGCCCCTGACCCAAATACCCAGACCCCCTCGGGCAGTGAACAAAATCTTGACGGGAGGTTCTTCCATATTCTCGGCCTAGGCCCTTACTGGCCCCCGGGACCGTCCAAAAATGATTCAGGATGAAGCACAGGTCCCCAGGAATGGGTCCAGACATCGGGGGTCGACGTAACGAACAAATCATGACGTCGGGGGTCTGGGAAGAGCCCTTGACCACAGCACGATGAATAGATGTGGCCTCACGCTGAGGTCCCCGTCTTCGCATCAGGGATGAGAAAGTCTGGGCGGTCTGGTCTGATGCATCTACAGGACAGACCTAATGCTTTTTGGCCCTCCTAGTTCAGGTCCCCTCCCAACGGGTTAGGGGTTCTTTCCTGTTTAATCAAGGCGGGTGCTGGGCCAGCCTATGAAGCCCCCCACCACGGATGCGGGCAAGGACGCCACCCGGTACGCCTTCCAGGACATCACGAGGTCCGACCAGTGGCACAGCCACATGAGAGACGAGCACATCAGCTTGCTGGGCCCGCGCGTGAGGAACGCCGTGCGCGGTGACATCCGCTTCATCGCAGACATGTTCCTCTTCTACGGGCTGAGCATCCCTGGTGGCGGCACCGCTTTGCCGCTCGACGGCATCGTTCAGCTGTACCGCGATTGCAAGCTCGCTTGCCCGCGCCTTCGACTGCCGCCTCAGGCGGCCGAGGCTTTGTTCTACCAGGTCCAGGCGGGCTGTGCTGAGCAGCAGCGAGGCCTCGATGAGCTCGGCTTCCTCCGGTGGCTGCTGCGCGCTGCTCTGCGGCGCGACGCCGGCGCAGCAGGCGCCGAGCGCGCCCCCGCTGGCGAGCTAGCAGGCCCCCACCAGCCGCTGGGCGCGGCGAGGTGCTTCACCCTGCTGGTACAGGAGCACCTGCTGCCCCACGCGTGCGCACCTCCGCCGGATGCCTTCGAGCAGACTGCCCGCGACCACGGCACCCGGCGCCTGCTGGCTGCGCACGAGCAGCTCCTCCGGGCGATCTTCGAGTGCTTCGCCCGCGGCGAGGAGCCCCCGCCCGTAGGCGCCCCAGGCGTCCAGCCGGTGCGCACCATGGTCTGGGGCGATTTCTGCGAGGTGCTCGCCGCCAGCGACCTGCTCGGGGGCCTGCTCGACGAGAGAGCCGCCCGCAGCGTCTTCGCCAGCTGCGTCTCCAGGCGAGCGGCCGTGGCGTGCTGCGGGTCGCGCCGGTGCGCCGCCGCGCGCGGGAGCGCCCCAGAGGTCGGCTACGCGTAAGAGTGGTCTTTCGGCGGGGTGACCTTTGGCGCGGGCACACAGAGGTCCCACCAGCGCTGGCTGGCGCGCTCGGATGGCTTGGATATATGGCCTCCCCCGCGGCCCCCGAATTCCAGCCGACGGTCATCCTTGCCTCGTTAGGGTCACTCTTGGGGGCAGCCGAGGAGGCCCGGTGTCTGCGCCCCAGCAGAGACAGCAGACGCAGCTCGTCCCCGGCGGGGTCGGCGTCCGACGTGGACAGCCCCACCGGCAGCCAGAGCGGCGCGTGCGCGCGCAGCAGACGCTGCGTGCGCCTGGAGGCCGCGCTGTCTGCGCCGCCACCGCCGCCGCTGGTCGCCCCGCGGCACAGAGCGGCGACCGCGCCGCCCAGGCTGGCTGGCGGCGAGCGCGCAGGGCGGCCGAGGGGCAGCGCGGCCAGCGGCTGCGCAGCGAGGCGCTCCTCCTTGAGGGAGCCGGGCCTGCTTTTCGAGGACTTCCAGCAGGGCTTGCTGGCGGCGCTCTGGCACCGCAGCCCAAGCCCGCTGCAGAGCGCCGTGAGCAGGGCCTCAGGGCTCCTCGGCGCCCTCGTGGCCGGCCTCAGCGACCACTGGCTGCACGCGGAGGTCCCGGACCCGGAGACGAGGCCCCGGGAGCACCAGCTCCACACGGCCGTGACCGAGGGGCTGAGCGTCGTGACCCTGGCGCGGCCGCAGGCAGAGCAGAAGGACGCCTGCGCCGCCGGCGCGGAGCCTTCGTGGGACACCTCGGGCGACGACAGCTACTCGCTGTGGGCGTCGCTGGCGCGCCAGGCGAGGCGAGACGCGCTCCGCGAGGAGCACGCTGGCGGCGCTCGCCGTGCTGCCACGGCGCCGCCAGGGCTCTGCCAGCGTGAGCGCCAGCGGCGCTCCACTGCTTTCGCGCGGCGCACGTCGCGCGGCAGCACTTTCGAGCGCCACGCCAGCCTATTCCAGTGGAGGCGCAGCGTCAGCCGCATGAGCTGCCACGGCCGCACGTTGACGGCCCCGGCCGCGCACGGTAACCGCGTCAGCATGCTCCTCAGCAGGTGAGGCGTCCGTCTCGTGGAGGGGCGTCGCGGCGTCGCCGCACGCTGCGTCGGGCCTCTGGCGACAGCGGAGGCCATGCGAAAATCGCGTGCAGCATGCCGCAGCCCGTGAGGCCACGCGCGCGGAGGCCATCTCTTCTGCGGCCTCTCCCCCAACAAGAATCTGCTCATATCGGTCTTTCGGCGGCGCGCCCAGGTGGGAAGTGAGAGGGGGCGGGCCTTCTCAGACGGCTCGGAAGGTCTCCAGCTTTCTAAGAAGTTTTCGAAGCCTTCCCCGAAGACGCAGAAACCTTCTCAGAAGGCCAGAGGGGCGCATAGTTAGTAGGCGACTTGACTGTTGAGGAGGAGGAGGAGGAGGAGGAGGAGGAGGAGAAAGAGGAGGAGGATGAGGAGGAGGAGGAGGAGGAGGAGGGGGAGGAGGAGGAGGGGGAGGAGGGGGAGGAGGAGGAGGAGGAGGAGAGGAGGAGGAGGAGGAGGAGGAGGAGGAGGAGGAGGAGGAGGGCCCCCCTCGGCGGCCCAATGTTCTCTCACAGCGTCGACCCTCGGAGGTCCGGGCCCCTTCCCCGGCACCGGTCTCTCATGCAGAGTCGTGTTCTGACGGTCCCGAGGCCGCAGGAAGGGCCCCGGGAGGCCGGAAGCAGCGCGAAGCCGTCCGTCGGGATGTTTTTTTTCATGACTCGAGGGGCTCTGGGTGGTGGGGCGAGCCCCTGGAGGCCGAAAATGGCGAAGCAACTCCCGTCGTGATGTGTTCATTGCCCGAGGGAGTCTGGGCCCAGGGAAGCGCCCTGGCAGGCCGCTCCAGTTTGCCCAGGGAAGCGCCTTGGCAGGTATCCTCGGGCGCCTCGATCAGGGAAGAGAGCTGCCGGGCAACTCCCCCTCCCTCGTCGTAGTCCACATTGTCGTCGTCGTCGTCGGAGGAGGAGGGCTGGGGAGACGGCTCGCGGGTGCCAGCAGAAGGCACGCCTGGAGGCCTCCCTGCACCAGAGAGCCTGGCATCGCTCGGACGTGTGCGTTTTTCCCTCGGCGAGGACCATCGAGGAGCATCCTTGACCATTTGGCGAAAAAACCACGCACGAAACCGAAAAAAGCACAGGGAATGGACGTCCGAGCGATGGCCAGGAGAGAGTGCAGGAAAGAGCACCGCCGCAGGAGCCCCCCACCCCAAAGATCCGAGGGTTTGTGATGGTGTCGATCCCTGCGTGTGGCTTTTTTGTTTGTCTTGGATCTCGGCCTCGAGGGACCCCTCGTCGGGCCCGGGGGTCATCGACCATGGACCAGGCGGGAAAACACACACACACAGACAAACACACACGCACAGACACAATGAATCGTCGATTCCCCAGACAATATAGGAAAATATCGGAAGTGGGGAAGAATACAGGGAATATCGGAAGTGGGGAAAATATCGGAAGTGGGGAAAATATCGTCGATCCCCCAGAAAATATGTGAAAATGTAGGGAATCTTGTTATGTGTGTCTATTTATTTGTCTGTCCCAGGACCATTGCAGAAAGGGGTCGGGACCCCTGGGGCCGCGGATTAAACAAATCATGTCCGTGGATGTCTGGCCCCGCCCCCCCACTGGCCGAATTCGATACTCCTGTGGGACGGGGTGTCCCCCGGCAAAATCCGGTTATTCCCTGGCGCTGGGGCCTCACAGACCCCCTGAACACCAAACCTCAAACAGCAAGCACCAAACGACAAGCACCAAAACACCAGACACCACCAAACACCAAAAAACACCCAACCCCGAACACCACCAAACACCAAACACCACCAAACACCAAACACCAAACACTAAACCTCAAGCACAAAACACAAAACACAACCGCAAAACGCCAAACACAAAACACCACCAAACCCCAAACACCAAACACCAAGCACCAAGCACCAAACACCAAACATCAAACCCCAAACACCAAACCACACATCCCAAACACCAAAACACAAATCCCTAATCCCAAACACCAAACACCATATAATCAAGCACCATACACCAAACAACACATACCATGCACCAGATACCATGCACCACACCCCAAATACCAACCCCCAAACCCCAAACACCAAATTCAAACCCCATACACCAAACACCAAACCCTAGATCAGGCGTGATCAAGACCGAGCTCAGGCGTGGTCCCTATAATGGCTCCTCTTCCCTTCGCGCTAACCCTTCGCCGCCAATCAGTGTCAGGTTCTTCGGGGACGCTCCCCGGCCGACCCTCCTCGTTCCCCGCTCGAGTCTTGCTATCCCCTCCTTCCCTCCCAATTTCCCCCCCCCGCTCCCCCTCCCCCCTCCCCTCCCCTCTCGTCCTCCCTCCTCCCCTCCCTCCCTCCCGCGCTTGTCGTTTTTAGTTCGTCGCCGCCCCGGGGCCCGAAACGGGTCTCCAAGGGCGACTGCCTCGGCCACGGAGCTGCGGCGTCTTCAGTACGGAGCTGCGACCTTTCAGTTTCTACCGCCTGCTATGATTCGCGTGATGTCGGGAGGCGTGGCTCTGTCGACCTTTGGGCCGCTCAAAAACTCCGAGGAGGGAAAACAACACACAGACACAATTTAATCGCCGATTCCAATGAAACTATGCGAAAATATGGGAAGTGGGGGGAATACGACAATCCAACAAAGATGGAACAAACATTGGGAACCCTTGGCTTTCTGTGTATTTATTTGTGTGTCCCAGGGCTCCATGAAACAAGTTCTTGGGCCCAGAGGTTTCTCACGGTTCTTCGACGCACATGTTGGGCCCCCACCCCCTTCGGGACGGGGAGGGGCGACACCGCCACCGCCAGGGTGGCCACCTCCAGCGAGGAGGTCCTCGATGCCTCCCCGAGCTGGGGATGAGGGATGTCTTGAGCGAGAGGCGAGAGGGGGAGACCACACCAGGGGGGAGGAACCCTGGGCCCTCCCACTGGTGGTCCCTTGTGGTGGTGGTGGTGGTGGTGGTGGTGGTGGTGGTGGTGGTGGTGGTGGGTGTCGCTTTGTCCTGGTTGCTTAGTCCTCGAACCTCCACCTTTTATGTTGACCAAACCTGAATCCCACGATTGTGGCGTTCTTGAACGAGAAAAAGTAAGCGACTCGGGTCAAGCGTACACCTGTCGGGAGCCGCGGAAAATGTAAGAGAACGAGCGCTGGCGAAGACGATTAGTGAGAGTAGGCGCCCGCCAAGTGTGGCGGCACTCACCTTAGTGGGGTAACACAGAAACGTAAGTTAAATTGATAAGTCAGAAACCTTAGATCAATGATTAGTGCCGTCGTGTTCCCCTCCTCTTCGACCGCCCCGAGACGACGGATCGATTCTCGCTTAGGCGACGCGCCGCTGGACGGCCACCAACAGTCAGGAGCATCGGCGACAACTCATCGACCACGGCGGCGAACCGACGCCGATCACGCATCGACGACGGCGACGGGGCGATGACGACAGATCAGTCCTCGCCCGGCGCGCCCCCTGGGACCCATTTTGGGGATGCGCCGGGCGCGTCCCGATCCGGCGCTCTCGCCCGAGACATGCTCGCAGAAGTCGCCCCACGGACCCCCGCAGCGCGCGGCGCGCGCCTTCCCCGGACAGACATTCGACTGCTCCATTTTCTTCGGGTCGTGGGCCCCCGAGATCCGGACCACTTCCCCGTTAGGGCCGGTTTTTCGTCCCGAGCTGGTTTGTGACGCTCCCGAGGCCAGGCGAGGGCCCCCAGAGGCCGAAAGCGGCCCAAAACCGCCCGATCCAATTTTTGTTTGGAGCGTCCGTTCTCTGGGTCCTCCTCGCCGCCCCCGTCCCCAGTCCCCCGACGCCATGATTTTTCCACAACGTCGACCCTCAGAGGCCTCGACGCATTCCCTGGGACCCGTTTCTCATCCTGAGTCGGTTTTTGACGGCCCCGAGGCCTGGCAGAGGCTTCCAGAGGTTGAAAATATGCAAGCAGCGGCGAAGCGTCCCGGCGTACCTCTAGGCCCACCAAACAATGTTCTAAGAATTGCTTGTGCTTGTTAGGAAATGTTCTCTGAATAGTTCTGTCTGGGACTGTCTCGTTTTAGTACATCGACCGTGCTTATGTTCTAAGAACGTTGCTTCTGTTCTTAGAACAGCTTGGGTCCTAAGTATATGTCGCCCCAAACAGCCGGCTGCTCTAATTTTGTCGATGCGTGGTCCCAGGAGGTCCCGACCATTTCCCCAGGGCCGGTTTTTCGCCCCGAGTTGTTTTTTCACGCTCCCGAAGCCCCGCGAGGGCCCCCAGAGGCTGAAAACACACCAAAAACCGCCCTCTCCAGTTTTGTTGACGCGTCGGACATCTGGGAATGCCAGGACGGTCGGCCCCTGCTCAAAATATGGAAAACCATCCCGCCTTGATCTTTTTCTTGCCCGAGGCCCAGACATGCGACGTCCTGATTTCTTCAGGACGGCGTCCCTGGAAGTCCCGACCCTTTCCCCAGGACTGGTCTTTCGTCATGAGTCGTTTCTTGACGGTCCCGAGGCCCGGCGAGGGCCCCCCGGGGCCGAAAGCAGCTAAAAGTCTCCCGTCCTGCTTTTTTTTGTTTTTCCGACGCGAGATCATATCTGGGGGGGGGGACTGTCCGCGGAGACGATCAGGGCGAACAGCCCAGGGCCGGGCACTACATGTATTCGCCCGGGAGCCTCGTCGAAGGCATAGATCATATCGGCGCCCATGGATACGTGTATTGTCCCCCCCTGGGCCATCCTCGTCGCCATCGAGGCTGGGCCCGCCGCCCCGCGCGCCCAGGGCACGCGCCGGCGCCGAGCTCTGAGCCTCGCGAGGGGCTCCCCCGCGCGCCCGGCCCTTGCGCGAGGGGCGCGCGCTCCCGCGCGGGGGGGGAGCCCGGCGCGCGGCGAGCGCCGCGCGCGGCGGGGGCCGCGCGGCGCGGCGCGGCCCGCTCGGCGGGCAGGGCGGGGAAGGGGGGGGCACCCTCGAGGCTCGCGAGGGTCGAGGAGGCTCGAGGTCGCCGGGCCCCCTCGGGCAGTGCAGGAGAGGTCGCGGCGGGAGCTCCTCGGGAGGGA